AAGTGGGCGGGGATAATGGGGCGGGGCTTGCAACAGTACCTAGTGTGGTCTAGTTATCAACCACCTATTTGTAAGGGGTGTTTTCTCCCATAAGCTCTGTTTACCTCTATAAGTTCTATCACAATCTCTCTATCACTATCGAGAGAAATATAAACCTCACTCATGGCAGAGTGAGGTTCAGTTTTATGGAATTTGCGGTTGTTTCTCTATGTTACGACAATAAAGAAGCTATGCTACCCGTCGTGGACCACAAGCTTCACAACATGGCGACCACGGAACCCAAAAAGGACCAGCAATCTGAAGAAAACGAAGAAAAGAAAACGAGAGCAAGCCTTTCTACTTCAACAGCAGGAATCCAGATGCCAATCCAACCAAACGTCTCTGCATCACGTGGTGCACTTGTTAGCCTCATGGAACAGTCTGCATGTGGGATAGCGCAGAGAAGCTTGGATTAGAGCCTATCAAGGATAAGAACATCACTCTCAACACATTCGGCAATAAGGAGTCCCAGACAGTACATTCGAAGCAGTATGATATAAATGTCCTGCTAGTGAACGACTCCCTATATCAGATGGAAGTACAACCCCTTCCCTTCCTTACGAAACCCCTTCCGATTCCATTTCAAACCTTTCCGATGGTCACCGCGGCAAAACCAGACGTATAGCTTAACCGAACTTCTCGATATCCACAAAAAACAAGCCACAGGCATCTCTCATCGGCATGGACCACTTCTGGCAAATGATTCTGTCTGAAGACTTTCACTCCGCCACACTAGCCAACGGGTGCAATCTACTGAACACGAGGACTAGGAAAAATAATCTCCGGAAAGAGAATATCAACCAGCACTATCAACATGGCAGTACAAGGCGAAGAAGGTCAATCGCTAAACAAACAGAACGTAGACGAAACGGAAGAAAGGTTCTCGACAAACGAATCCTCTAGTACAAGTGATTTACGCTCCAAGAATGACGACCTCTGTCTCAAAGCCCCGAACGAACGAACACCTTATGATGGTGATGAACATTGTGATGGTATAAAAGCCTTCATTCGGAACGGAGCAATGGAAAGTTCCAAACAAGCAGCGGATTAGGAAGAAAAGGAAGAAGCCGTACACAATTCCAAATTATTCTGGAAAGACGAAGCTGACTTCGCATCGACAAGTAAACTCAGCCACTTCCAAATCGGTAAAGAAGAAAAAGAAGAATCACCGCGCCTATATAGAAAACAAGACGAAACCTCCAAAGAAAAGAGACGAAGCTTTCAACTCAACATCATCATTCAACCGCCCGCGTCCAGCAGTCCTCCATCCCTACGCTTATCCCTCTATCTACTTTTAGCAAACAACTTGATCCTCCGATAGCAAATAGCTATAGACGACTACTGTATCCGGCACAACACCTCCAAATCCATTCCGGTTCGCATACCATGGCAACGTGAAAACATAAACAAAAGCTCCGAGGAATCAGACGAAGAATGGAAGAGTGGAATAAAACGAGATGATCTTCAGCTACAATGGATGTTTCCGATTTGGTTTGAAAAGTGTCCGATTTGGTTTGAAAAGTGTCCGATTTGGTTTGAAAAGTGTCCGATTTAAAGTGAAAATGGTATATAAACGGCAACGTCTGTCTGTCTGTCTGTAAGTCTGTAAGTCTGTCTGTAAGTCTGTCTATCCGGAAATTCGGAATCACCTGAAGAGCCAGTTGGAGGGGCGGGTCAAGGGTGGGTTGGGTAGGGCATGGGCCAAGATGTACGGAACACACATGAACTAAGCTAAGCCCCGCCTACTGTGGGCGAGGTGGCGTCAATTGGTGACCCACAATTTTTCATAAATTGGATAGTGTTCGGTTCCAAAGTAGAGCCTCGACGACGAGTGGAAAAGTGGCAACGCATAGGCAATCAGTTGGAGGAACGAAATGAGAACCCCATTCTGGGCGCGGCGTTCTAGGTGGGTGGCGCTTGGTACCAAAATTTCAAAAATTCGTATTCGGTACCAAAAGAGTCTTGAGAGGAAAAAGTGGCAAACGATAGGCAATCAGTTGGCGGACGAAATTAATGAAGCACACCCCTGATGGGCGGGGCGTTCGCCGAAGTGAACGGTGCCGAGGACAAAAACCCTCAAAACGCATCCGAAAAACCCCACGAAATGGGGAGTAAGGTGAAACTGAGCAATGGTTGGGCAGATGAAGTTAGTGAGGGATAACCGTAGGGAGTATACCAAATGGTTGGTACCGTCGGCAATAATTCATAATTCGGTTCCCAAACACACAAGTGTAGCTAATCGCAGTGAACGGGATATGTGCCACAGTGAATGGGAGTGAAAATCAAGGGTTCGTAAATCAGTATGTTTATTTATTTGTTTATTTACCTACTATTTACTGCACAACAATTTAGGCAAATGCATATTCCTACTTCAGTTCATCCACTAATCATCCAATACCGACAGACCACACATTGACTATACAGTAGTTTCACAGTTGTTTACCATTGGGAGGGTACTTGCTGATCTCTATCCTATCCTACTATATATAAACGGCAACGTCTGTCTGTCTGTCTGTCTGTAAGTCTGTCTGTAAGTCTGTCTGTCCGGAAATTCGGAATCACCTGAAGAGCCAGTTGGAGGGGGCGGGTCAAGGGTGGGTTGGGTAGGGCATGGGCCAAGATGTACGGAACACACATGAACTAAGCTAAGCCCCGCCCACTGTGGGCGGGGCGTGCGCACATTGTGAGCTACATTTTTCAAAAATTCGTAGTTCGGTTCCAAAAGAGCCCCGAGATGGAAAAAGTGGCAAACGATAGGCAATCAGTTGAAGGACGAAACTGATGAAGCAAACCCCTGACGGGCGGGGCCGGCCGATCCGACTGGCCCTCCCTCTCATGGAAAACTTCTCACCGGGACCCACTTCACACGCGGAAGGAGGATCGGCCGGCGAAGCCGGCCGATCCGACTGGTGACGAAATATACCAGACAATCAGAAGGACAACTCCAGCGGAGAGGGGCGTCCTCATTCTTGACCCACAATTATTTAACAAGAAAGTTTCCCACCTACTGCAGCTGTTATAGCTATTTCACTTCACTATGCTATTGCTTCGCCTTCTGTGTTTTTCTCCATTATTTGTGTTCTGTATTTTTTTTTCTTTTTGTGTTATGACCGTACTTGATGGTATCAAAAAGTGTCGACGCACCTAATGCACCACTACTTCCAGATGAGCGACGCTATTTATAAGATTTTGAGGGATTTACATCCGTCTAATTTACGTTATCTTTTCTATATGGTAACGCCGAATGAGACCATTCATACGCGGTTGGAGGACATACCGAATTACTTAGTTGATCCGGTAAGTAATAAAGAAGGGAACTCTCTGCATCCGCGAAGCCTTTACGAGTGCTGATAAGAAGGGTCTGGGGCATGGTGGCCACACAGAAAGAGATCCAAGCAATGACTCCTATCTCTGCGACCTTTTTGTTATTCCTGCTCTCGTAATAGATTGGCAACGAGTCAACTCCTTTCGACTAACCGTTCACCCCCCCCCCCCCCTCCTCTCTCCCAGTGATCAAAATACGATTGTGCAACTATTTCGCCGAAGGCTTTTAAGTATGAATTCCAGATTTCGACATGGACGTTCGTGTTGGTTTTCTTGGAGTTGCTGATACTCGATGAGAAGACGTATGCGTTTAACGACCACGTCACGTCTATAAATTCCGGAATGATGTATATCCTCTTAAAGTGAATTTATTTTCTGAATATTTTCTGGACATCACGATAACTCGCGAAGCTGTCATTGTTGAGCTGCGGGATCCATACACTGATGCTTCTGTGCCTACCATCCACTGACTGTCGTGGTTGTCCAGCTCCAAATTCGGTTTCTATAGATTTTCAGTGATTCGCTGTCGCCTGCGCCTCGCGATCTCTTCAGACAAATCTCAATATAGAAAGTCCAAGCGCCACGCGCACGGTGTAGCGGGGAAGTTACAGATGGAAGCCGGTACAGCTTACACTCCTGTCTGCTCGAACCGGAAATATTCTCCCCATCTCCGAGATATTAAAATATATCTCTGGCTAATGTACACAGTTATGAATAGGAGATACATACAGCACTTTATAGCTGATAACGTAGCAGTCAATCGGGGATAAGTCAGGATGGGCGGACTGAGCCACGACTGTCTTGCTCTGCCAGTAGCAATCGGCTATTGATCGGTTAGTGATCGATTGAGAAGGAAAAGAGAAAACGGTGGAAAAGCCGCGGGTGGACCAATTCTATCCCTCCAAGACCTCCGTGACTGATCGCTTTGATACTTGAATTGTGGTGTACTTGTGTTTTTTGTTGAATGACCGGGTTTTCTCTCGGCATCCGGCAGGGTACTCCTTCACCTTTAAACAAAAGCATACACACATGCACGTTCGCATGTACACTCCTTAACCCTGAGCCAGAGTAGGCGTGGCATTCGAATATGGCACGGAATTGGTTATTCGTGGAATATTCCAGTCTGGGACAACTGTCATCTTGTTCTGTGTTGGACAGAGACACGACAACAATGTGTCAAGATGAAAATATCTCACCAGAAGCATAGACACCTTCAGGTTAAGTTGAAACATGCAGCCACGCCTACCCGATCTCAGGGATTTCGAGTATACGCAAGCGCGCTCGTATGTACGCTTATACCAAGGGGAGATACTATCACCACCATTACATGAAGTAAGGTTGATACTGCGATGCCAATTTATTTTTGTTTTTCCCTGCAGAGATTATCTTCCACGATTTCCTTGCTATACTCCGTGGCTTTTGCGGACATACATACATGCATGCATGCATACAAACCGTCACAAAAAGTCAGTGTTTTATAGACAAGAGTGATTACTCTCTTCAAGTTCTAATTTAGAATCGGTGGTCGTGAAATATCAACTTGGATCTATCCGATAGTGTACGATCGAGTGCATATCATAGATCTGCCTAACGATTCGGCCTTAACATGGATACTGTGCTTTTTCACGCAAGATTTCATGCTTTACATCGCTCATCGAGCTATACATGGTAAGTGCGCAGTAAGGGAAGTAAAGTGTGAAACCAAAATGTTGCCTTCATGGGTAGCACTAGTTACACCACAAGTCCAATTTGGCTTCTGTTCTTGAGAGATTTTCATGTTGAATTTTGCGAAAGACCACTGATGAAGAAGTAGGTGATAGTGGGATCGATAATTTTTATGCGACCAAACATGCCCACGAGAACAACACTCCGTGAGTAATCTGTGATAACTGTAACCTTCAGTCAACAGTAAACCGCCATTTCATCCTGAATAGGTAATGGAATCTGTCATATAGCAGTTTACAGTAATACCCTAAACCTCAGATGGGAGTTAATCGCCGCTCTTGCTAACATACGTGTAACGTGCATTATGCCATATCTGCAAAAGATCACCATTTCAGAAGTCAGTTTCTTATGGTGGTTTCATAAAATGCACCATTCTTCTGAGTATTTCAATCTCAGCACTGGTTTACGATTACCAGCACTTCAGGTTTGTTGTAATTGTTTGAAAAAACACTTGTTTGTATGCTGCCGTCCACATGACTGTTGTGAACAATGAGGAATATGGGTTTCAAGGAGCTACAGTGCCGAGCAGGGCGATAAGACTTCCTCAGAGATCAGCAACAATCTTCTCTGATTGCTTAAACATCCGTAGGCTGTTCATCACAGCTCCCGGGAGATGAGAGGCAATTTGGTGTGTTGCAACGTGGAATCATGGACTCAAGTTATTCAAGGGGAGTTTTAGACCGTGAAACCGTGCAGACAGAATACAAAGGCAGGTATCACAATTATGGAGGGGTGATGATCATTCATTTTCCAAGTCCAATACTGAAACTCAATGCATCATGATTTATCTTTAGTGAGACCAATCTGGAAGTATAAGCTGTTACCAGCGTGGGTTACCACGATAACTCAGCCCACATGACCAATTTTTGACAGATCTTCTAGGGAAGCTGCCTGACTCATTCTCCTGAAATACTCGAGGGAGTCTCCAAAATGAGAGCACATACGATTGTGGGTCCAAATAAGAGCGAACAGCTCGGCGCTTCTGATGCAAGAGAACTTCTTAAAGGCAGAGGTGATGGTTGGAAGCAAGCGGTCCTAAGAGTGTTGAAGGGCTGAATGAGGTGTGGACGAGTGAGGTGCGGACAAATGCTCTCTTATAGCCCCTCTGCTAAGGGCGCTGACAGCAACCGTCCACCCAAAGCCATCGTGCCTTGCCTTCAGTAAAACATTCCTATTTCGATTACTTTTTCACTAATAGAAGGCTGATTCAACTTGATTTTAGGATGTCGCCCATATGTTTCCTGAACTGTTGCAAGCTTTCTTTATCCCTCCCAACATATACATAGTTCACCGGGCTTTGAACCTTACTATCAGTTCTGGATCCATACAAATGTGAGTTCGATATTATAACACATTTTTGTGCTTTTGTTATAATCTCACTTTCGCTTCTATTATAATTCAATTCCGTTATGTGCAGCGATTCACACTGCTAAGCTGTGGAAGGGAGCGATTCTTCCACAAGCCTTTCACGTCATGCGCTCATGCCGCGATCAGTGGCTGGCCAATTCAGAGCTTCTTCGCTCTGATCCTCCATTTAACAGTATTGACTAGGCTACTATCCTACTATATATAATCCGCTAAGTATGTCTGTAAGTGTGTGTGTATGTTGTGTGTGCGTCTGTCTGTGTGTCACGAAATTCATAGCGCCGGTCCCAGTAACAGTGAGACATTGATTTCAAGAAGTGATGTAGGCGGTGTGACGGGAACACTATTGGTGGGTGACAGGAAGTGATATCAGTTGATAAGATACGATAAGAGGCGTTAGAAGGGGGAGGTCACCATATTCATAACGCGGTGACAGCATCAGCCTGCTCTCGATTTTAAGATATGATATAGGGGATAGTCCAAGAACATCATTAGTGGGTCACAAAAACTGTAAGCTGCTGATAAGATTCGATAAGGGGCGTTAGAAGGAAAAGGTTACCATATTCACAGCGCAGGTCACAGCATCAGCCAGCTCTTGATTCCGAGATATGATATAGGGTGAGGGCCAAGAACATTATTGGTCGGTAATAAGAACTGTAGCTGCTGATAAGATTCGATAAGGGACGTTAGAATAGTGAGGTCATCGTATTCATAGCGCAGGTCACAGTATCAGCGAGGCGTGCGTTTCAGCAAGTGATATAGAGAGTGAGTTGGGAACATCAACCGTGGGTGACTAGAAGCGATAACTACTGATAGGGGCTGATAATGGAGGTTGCAGTCGTCGTCGCTGTTCAAGGCGGTTCACGCTCTCAAATCATAGAGATTTAGTGATGAGGACATTGATGACGGGTGACAGGTAATCTTATCAATCGATAAAAATTGATACGATACCATCTGCGCTAACCTCTCACCGCTTTAATGCCGAGTATTCGAGGCTCAGATTGTGAAACTTTCCTTTGGCCAACACTTTCCTGATAACACTAGAAAATGAACTCATCCCACTATCCTACTCTATATAATGTCGATGTCGACGAGCGGGGGGGGGTATGTAGTACGCCTGAAACAGGAAAGTCAGGGAATTTTTAAAAATTTTTTTCTTTCGAACTTTCAATTACTGATGAGAATGAATAATAAGGGAGTAAAGTACCTGAAATTATTTATACTTCAGCGAGCGCTATATTGATCGACTGCACTTTGTATCTATATCTATAGGTCTATGTGTTGTATGGGCGTTATGGCGCGGACCGCAAGTATAAGCGTTTGCTAAGGAGTGCAGGATCCGCAGAGTTGCTCTATCTGATGATTGGACCAATACAGCGCTGTATGAGCAACCCAGAGATTGAAAGAGTTCCGTTCCCCATTATGGAGCGCGCCTGGCGAAGCCAGGCCAGCTCGGCGAAGCCGAGCTAAGAGAAGGAGGAGAGCTCGGCGTCAGCCGGGCGATCCGACTGGTATATATATAATCCGCTAAGTATGTCTGTAAGTGTGTGTGTGTGTGTGTGTGTGTGTGTCTGTCTGTCTGTCACGAAATTCATAGCGAGCGTCGCAGAAAAGATAGGATGACAGTTTCGAAGAAGTGATATACAGGACGCGAACACTTTTGGTGGGTGACAGGAGGTGATAACACCTGATAAGATTCGATAAGGGGCCTCAGAAGGGGAGGGTGACCGAGTCTATAGTGCGGGAGTGGGACGTTGGTCCTAACGTATGATATGAGGTGCTGGACAGGGACATTATTGATGGGTGGCAGGGAGTGATATCAGCTGATAAGATTCGATAAGGGGAGTTAGAATGGTAAGGTCACCATACTCATAACGCGGGACACAGCATCAGCTAGGCGTTGATTTCAGAAAATGATATAGAGTGGGAGATGGGACATCGACGGCAGGTGACAGGAGGTGATAACAGCTGATAGGGGCTGATAAGGAACGTTGCCGTTGTTGTTCAGTCAAAGTGCTGGAGCCTTTACACTAGCAAATTACAGAATACAGTGATAGGGACATTGATGACGGGTGACAGGCAATCTTATCAATTGATAAGAAAGGATAAGGAGCCATTCTCATCGCATCTTTTACCACTATACCGCCAAGTATTGAACGCTCAGTGTGCATTTCATTTAGCCATCACTTCTCTGATAGAGCTAGGAACTGAACTCATCCCTACCATCCTACTATATGTCTGTCGATGTCGACGAGCGGGGGGAGGGGAGGAGGGGGGGGGGTATGTTTGCCTGAAACAGGAAACTAAGGAAACTCAGGGAGCAGAAAACCTGAATAATGCGGCGCTTCATGCGTTCAACAGCTCTTTTTACTTTTGACCATTCAATTACAGATGAGAACGAATAACAAGGGAGTATAGTACCTACTAATAATTATACTTCAGCGAGCGGATTGCATGCCAATTGAAGGGAACGTTTATGGATAGGCGTTTCGGAGCGGGTGTTGAGATGAAATCTTTTTTTCACTGAGCGATTCGTATTGCGCTGTATTGGCTGACTACGCAATGTATGTTGACTAGTGGAGGATCCTGAGCCTTGCTCTATCTGTTACAATTCGATCACTACAGCGCCGTATGAGCAGCCCACTATTGAAAGGTTCCGTTACAATTATGGAACGCGCCTGGCAAAGCCAGGCCAGCTCGGCGAAGCCGAGCTAAAGAGAAAGGAGGAGAGCTCGGCGTCAGTCGGGCGATCCGGTTGGTAAAATCATAAGCTACATCGCACATATTGTAAACGGTGTATTCTCCACATGAATTCGATCGAGCTGTCAGACAGGACAACCCGTACGCAGCGACTTCTATATTGCCAACCACGCTCAGCGACGCCGCGGTCTAGCAGCGTCCCACTTTTGAATCGTCACAAACTCAATGCTGTTCTGCACTATTTTATGAAGCTTGCGAATGCCGTTTAGCTGGCCCTCTCATCCTACTCCTGTTAAGATATCAAGATATCACTATAGGAAAGGGCTAAGAGTGAAGTTCATACACCTTTTGTGTCTACAATTTCACTGCAGGAGTCAATCAAAGTCACAGTTTGTGAACACACGACATGCGGAATATCTTGCAAGCAAGGGACGGTTCGGAAACGCAGAGGATGGGCACCTTTACGGGTCGAAGGTCTCTGACATAAACTCGCCCCGGATGTCGATCTGCACTTTAATCGTTTCATAACGCTGTTTGGTGGTGCGACCTCACTCGCTTGCGTTATAGCTTCTATGCCATGACCGAGAGTTTTTCAAAACTTTTCTCATTGCTCATCGTGATGGCAGTTGGGCTTTTTGACAAGAACATGATGGTTCCACTCATATGGTTTGATATTTTGAAGAATCTCACTTCAGACAGTACCTTCCCTTGGTCCTCTTGAATACTTCTTGAACACTCCGTCCAACCACCGAGTGCACCATGGCAGGAATCCTTACTGCATCGATAGGAACTATGGCTGCACCTTGATTATATGGGACAGGTGAGATGGCTCTTACACTTTGGTTGATTGAATGATATCTCGCCTAAGCAAAGCATCACTTGGAAGCGGAAAATGAACCAGTTGCACCGAAGACACAGCAACTTGGTAATAACAAGAAACGTAATGCAATATTGTAATAAGATTTCATGTAAAAATGAATAAAAGAAAGTAGAACAAGGTGAAAACTGAGTAAAACTGAGCAGTAAAGGCTAAAAAGTGGAACAAAAATGGTTTATAAAAGTGGGAGTTGGGTCATAAGTTGTAAGTCAAAGGCAAAGCCCGCGATCAGATATTCTGGGTGATGGTACTGAACTAGCGATGCCAAGATGCCAATGAAGTCAGTGCGGAAGGAACAGAAAGAAATGGTTGCAAATGCCCTCAATAAAACCCCTGCGCGAGCACACTTGTACGAGCAAAGGAGCAAAAAGAGTGATCGGACGAAATCATTGGGCGAGAGTTGTTGGGGTCGATGTGGTTGCGCCATTGATCACAGCTGATTTCCCGTTGCCAATAATGTCTCTGCCGATATTCTTTAGCAGGTCTTCTATCATTATTATAGCAGAGCAGCGGGCGGGGTCAATGATAATGGGTCGGGCCAATGAGAGGAATGACATTGTCTCCGCCTTCCTCTCTCGCTTTGCGCCGCAAAAATGATGCAATCGCTGTCTCTGCGAGCATGTTTACCTTCTCGCGAAGACAGAGAAAGATGTCAGCTGATCGCGGACAGTGCGCTTAAAGCAAGCCGATGTTTCGGGAGTCGTGTAGCGGCAAATGATTTTGTCATAGTCTGAATCTGCAGGGTGGCAAAGTAATAAAAGTTCTCATCCAGGGATAGATATGACCTGACACTGTTTTGACGAAGCTCTTGCACTAGAGTAAACTATATAGGCATCACCGATACACTCGCCTTGATAGCACAGTTCATATGAACGGACCTGAGAAGTGAACTTAAAGTTTAAATCTGCATACAAGAATAGTGCAGTAG